AGTACGTCTATAGACGGTGGCCCACAGAAGTGGTTAAAACAAGAACACGGCTGCTCTTGGTACCGCTTTTAACAGCAGGCGATTGCTGTATGACTTACAAGCAATCGCCTGCTGAGGACTACAAATCTCAGCAGTACTTTATACAGAAATGCTATTGTTATATAAAGTATTGCTGGGATGTGTAGTCCTCTATAGCCTGTGCCATTCTGCATTGCTGTAAATATTAGGGCTGCACCATATATTGGCCGCCAAAACATATTGGCCGAAAATGGCACTTTTGGCATAATGCCGAAAGTGCCATTTTTCTGCTGATACAGCGGTGCATCCGTGCTTTCTTTTTCCCCCGCTGGACGCTGCTCCGTCTCCCAGCGCGGAGGAGAGAAAGTGACAGCCGGCCGAGCCCTGCGGAAGGAGAACGCTGTGTTTGTGGGGGTTTTTTTTGGGGGGGGGGCAAAAAAAAATCTTGTCTTGCACCAGGGCCCTTTGTTCCTTAGCTCCGCCACTGGTGTCATCCTTGACTCGGACCTCACCTTTCTTCCCCACATCCAGTCACTATCCAAATCCTGCCTCCTTCACCTTCATAACATCTCCAAAATACGCCCCTTCCTCACCAAAGAAACCGCAAAACTACTCATCCACTCCCTTGTTATCTCTCGTCTTGACTATTGCAACTTCCTCCTCATTGGCCTACCTCTACACAGGCTATCCCCCTTCAGTCTATCATGAATGCTGCTGCTAGACTCATCCACCTGACCAACCGCTCAGTGTCTGCAACCCCCCTCTGCCAATCCCTGCACTGGCTTCCACTCGCCCAAAGGATAAAATTCAAAATATTAACAACCACTTACAAAGCCATCCACAACTCTGCCCCCGGCTATATCTCAAACCTTGTCTCTAAGTATCACCCTAACCGTCATCTCTGCTCTTCCAAAGACGTCCTGCTTTCCAGCTCCCTCACCAACTCCTTCCATGCTCGCCTCCGGGACTTCTCTAGAATCTCTCCCATCATCTGGAACTCTTTACCCCAACCTGTCTGACTATCTCCCACTCTGGCTGCCTTTAGACGAACCCTTAAGACTCATCTCTTCAGGGAAGGCTATCCTACTTCAACCTAACCACTGAACTATCACTTTCTCATACAATTCATCCAAACACTGCTACCTCCTCGTGTATCACTTGCCCCTCCCTTTGAAAAGGCCTCAGGCACAGGGCCCTCCTTACCATCTTATCTTGAATTGAATTGTGATTGTAATGTCTTCCTTATATTGTAAAGCGCTGCGCAAACTGAGGTAAAAAAACACTGTATGATCATAATAACAATAAAGTGTGCTCTAGGCATACAGGGATATATGACTGAATATTTAAAACTGGATAATTTTCCCACAGCAACCAGTAAGGTTTCATATTTCAAATGACGCAAAGGCTATGGTTGCTGCGGGTAACTACTTCAGTTCATTCAGTTAAATACATTTGTTTTTGTTACCTCTAGTTCCTGAAAATCAGCCCTCAGATGAAAACTAACCCGTCTCTTTGAGTCCAGGTTTGTGCCAGAATCGGCTCGTTGGCTTATTGTAAAAGGTCGCTCACTTCATGCCCTTAGAAATCTGCAGAGAGTAGCTTGGATAAACGGGAAAAAAGAAGAGGGGGAAAAACTCTCAGAGAAGGTAAATCTTTAATATTTAACTTTTGTTTGGTAGTCTTTGACCCCTTCATGACTGAGCTTTTTTTCAGTTTCTGTACGCTAATAACTGACAAACTTTTTATATTTTTACTGTGTGATTCTACTAAGCGCACCCACACATTATATATTGTTTTTTAGAGGACACATAGGGCTGTATATTTATATCACATATGTGTGCATAATGCCTTGCTTAGTATGAATAACATAACAAAATGAGAGGAAAAAAACGTAAAGAATACAGAAAATTGCTTCCATACTTACCGTAATTTTCTTTTACTGGCTCATCCTCATGTCGGCACTATATGGGTCAGCTCCACCCCCTCTGACCCCACAGGACCACCTTTACTAGCCAATAAAAAGGATGTCCCCTCCCCTCTTACCTGTTCAATGACAAGCCGAGCGACAGGCAATCAGGGACGGGAAAGCATGCCGACATGAGGATGAGCCAGGAAAAGAAAATTACGGTAAGTATGGAAACAATTTTCTGTATTCCTGTCTCATCCTCATGTCGGCACTATATGGGACATAGCAAGCTTAACCCCTATTGGGCGTGGAACCACTGAATAATCAATTTCCAAACATAAAATGCTGCAAAAATAGAAAAATGTATTTAGATAAGGCTGACGTCAGTACTGCCGACCCAAATCTGGCCAGTCTGTCTGCAGCCACATCCACTTGGTAGTGTCTAACAAATGTATTCTGTGCGCTCCATCTCGCTGTCTTGCAAATATCTTCGAAAGAGACCTTAGAGTAAGCAGCCCAAGAGGTTGCCACCCCCCTCGTGGAATGCGCCCGCACTTCAACTGGAGGAGTAAAACCCTGATGCACGTATGTACCGTTGATGATCGACTGAATCCACATCGACAACACCCTAGGGGGTGCCGCTAGGCCCCTTTTCGAGCCCCTAGGCAACAGGAACAAGCGATCTGATGCACGAAATTCCGCTGTTCTGAGCAGATATTCTCTCATGAGCTCGACCACATCCAAGGCCGGCAGTAAGTCTGAGTCTGATGACTGTGCTAGGGTTCGGCATCCCGGCAGGATAACCTCCCAATCTGCGTGAAAGGCGGTAGCCACTTTCGGTCTAAACTCGGGTGATGGCCTTAAAATTACTCTATCGTCCAGCAACACACAAAAAGGTTCTTTGTAGGAGAGAGCCACCAGCTCGGATACCCGTTTGGCCGAGGTAATGGCCACCAGGAAAAGAAGTGTGTGAGTCAGTCCCCACAATGTGCACTGAGACAGCGGATGATATGGGAGGGCTCCCAGTGCGGCCAACACTAGGCCTAGGTCCCAGGAAGGAAACAGTACTCTCCGTGGAGGCCGTATCTTCATTGCGGCTCTCATGAACCTGCGTAGCAAGGGATCATCCGCCCATTCCGTGCCCGTACATGCCGACAAGGCCGATATCTGCACTCGAAGCGAGTTATAGGCAAGGCCTGCATCCAGAGCCGACTGCAAAAACCCCAGAATATCTGGCAATTCTGCGTTTAAAGGCTGGAAGTGATGCACGTCCACGAAGGATAGAAACTTGTTCCATATTCTGGCGTATGTAGCGTTCGTCGATGGACCCCTAGAGCGGCCCAAGGTTTCGATCACCTTGGCGGAAAGCCCCTGACTCTCCCACCTTGAGGCTTCACCCACCATGCTGCCAGATGCAATCGGTGTGGGTTGGGGTGTTGCCAGTGCCCTTGTAGAAGTAGATCCCTCTTCTGGGGGAAGAACCATGGGGTGGCTACTGACATTTGGAGCAATAGGGGGAACCATGGCCTCCTTGGCCAAAATGGCAGGATGAGGATAACTGCCCCTCCGTCCGCCTGTATCTTCTGCAGGACTCGGTGAGCCAACGACACTGGTGGGAACAAATAAGCCAGAGGAAACCCCCACTTGATTGAGAATGCATCCTGCGCCACCGCTTGTCGGCAGACGTGTCTCGAGACAAAGCGGGCCACCTTCGCATTCTCTGCTGAGGCCATCAGGTCGATCGATGGGGTGCCCCACCTCGCAAACACCGGTGCCAGATATTTGGAATTCAGTTCCCGTTCTCTGGTCTCTGGAAAATACCTGCTGAGGAGGTCTGCCAGAATATTGTCTGATCCCGGCAAGTAGGCTGCTGTTAAGGCCTGAACCTGTGCCTCCGCCCAGGCAAAGATCTCTTGCGAGAGGCAAAGCAGAGGGAAACTCCTTGTCCCCCCTTGTCGTCTGATGTATGACACCGCTGTTCTGTTGTCCATCATAACCTTCACCTGTTGGCCTTGGAGCAGTGGTTGAAATGCTCTGAGTGCCAATGAGGCCGCCTTCAGTTCCAGCCAATTCGACTGTGGTAACACTGGACCCTTCCATCGATCCTGCACTTGATAATCCAGGCAATTAGCCCCCCATCCCTGAAGGCTGGCATCTGTAGTAACTGTTATCCAGGAACCCAACCCCAGGGGCATACCTCAAGAGAGGCATGGAGATCCTATCCACCAGAATAAATTGCCCCGCATTGCCGTGGGCAGGAAGATTTCTTGCGAAAGAGACGCCCTGTTCCACTGACGCAGGAAAACAGGATTGCAATTTGCGCCTGTGCCACCTTGCCCAGGGTACCACGGGAATACATGAGGTCATCCTGCCGAGGAGCACCGTGCAATCTCTGGCCGGCAATGCTGGCAAGGAGATGACCTTGCTGACACAGGCGGTCAACTCCCGACTGCGGTGGGCGGGGAGGAACACCCTCGCCTGAATGGAATCCAGCACTACCCCCAGGTACTCCATCCTCTGCGTGGGAGTCAGCTGGCTCTTCTGACAATTGATTAACCAACCGAAACGACGGAAGGTTGTCAAGACAAGATCCCTGTGGATCGCTAAGGCCTGGCTCGACTGCCCCAACACCAAGATGTCGTCTAAGTAGTGGAAAATGTTGATGCCTCGCAGTCGGAGGAGAGCCACAACCATTTTGGAGAAGGTTCTTGGGGCCGTGGCTAGACCAAATGGCAGGGCGCGGAACTGGAAGTGCCGGCCTGCCACCGCGAATCTCAGGTATTTCTGATGAACCTCCGCAACTGGGACATGTAGATAAGCATCTTCCAGATCTATGGACAGCATCCAATCGCCCACCTGGACCACGGCAATAATAGTCTGGACTGATTCCATTCGGAACGGGTGCACTTGAACAAACACATTCAATCTCTTCAGATCCAACACTGGTCGGAACCCTCCTGATGTCTTGTGACTAAAAAGATCGGTGAATAAAATCCGCGGCCCCGCTCCGATTTTGGTACTGGCATAATTGCGTTCTTGAGTAATAGGTCTGCGACATATCCGAGCAGCAATCCTCTCTTCAATCGTTCTTTCGGAATGACGGTGCTGACAAACACAGGGGGGGGCAGAGACCTGAACTCCAAACGGTACCCTCGGGTAACGATATTTTTCACCCAAGCATCCTGAACTTCTGACACCCAAGCCTCCCTGAAGGCGCCAAACCTGGCTCCCACTGGGATAGACTGGGTGTGCGCACCTTCAGAATTGTTTATTCTGAAGTTTTGGTGCCTGACCTGCCTTAGCCTTGACGTCTCGCAATAAGGACGACTGTGCTCCTCTCCACTGTGGCCGGGAGAATTGTCTACCTGGTTTGTAGGTTCTGGCATCCTTAAACCTTTGAGAGGTCTGATTACTCCGAAAGGGCTGCTGTCTGCGCTTGAAACTCTGTGGCAACAGGCCCGATTTCCCCCCTGTCACTCTCTTAATTGCATTGTCCAGCGTCTTGCCAAACAGGCTCTTCCCATTAAACGGAATGGCACACAATGCCTGTTTTGAAGCTGAATCTGCGGTCCAATGTTTCAGCCAAAATGCTCTCTTTGCAGTGACTGAATGCCCCATCAACTTTGAAGAGAGGTGGACAAGGTCAATGAAAGATTCTGCCAAAAAAATCAGCTGATTCATTTCCTCCAGAGCGGCCAGTATCTGTGCATTTTCCACGCCTGCCTTCAGTGCCGCTTTCCACATTTGACACCCATACCTTCAGGGCCTTGGACAGCGAAGTCAAGGCTAGGGCTGGGCGCAAAGCCCAGCCTGCGGTAGCATAAATCCGTTTTAAATCTGCATCCAAGCGACGATCCATCGGGTCCTTAAAGGCTACCGAGTTATCCAATGGAAACGCCACATGCTGTGCAAGGCGCTGCAAGGCCGCATCAATAATTGGGGGTTTTTCCCACAAGGCTGAGTCAACTGCATTCATGGGATAGAGCTTCAGAAAACGGTTCTGAAAGTTCAGCTTCCTATCAGGGTGCCCCCATTCCTCTTCAATTAGTTCCTTGACCTCTGGCATGACCGGAAAAGTAGGACCCTCTTTCTTCAGGTCTGGAAAATACTTTGCCACCTTTTTAGGAGGGTCAATGCCCTCCCAACCAATAGCTTCTTTGATAGCTGTAATAAAAGGAATAATAAGGTTGAAATCAAATGAATGAACTTCCTGTGCTTCTGGAACGGAGGAACCTTCCGAGCAGATCTCACCCTCATCTGAGGGTTCTGCAGGTCTAGTCTGCCTTGACTTCCCAGTAGAGGTAGTGGCGTGCGTAGTGGACACCATAGAAGGAAGTAGATCCTGAAGACTATCCTGTACAGCCTGATGTATACTCTCTGCACACCATTTTGCCTGGTAATGCTGGGGAGGAGCAGGACCAACATGAGCCTGGTGGAAACTGTTGTCCTTTCCCCTGCCGGGAGGTTGAAGCACCCTCTTGGCGGTGACGTCTGTGGCCTCCTGGTGAGTGCTCATGGGCCGAATCAGAAGATGAAGAACGTCTCCGGTCTTTATGTTTCTTTGTTCTTTTGTGAGAAGGGCTCTTACTCCTGCAAGGAGAAGATAATCAGAACCCCACTTCAAATACGCATTCTTTTACCTGTCCCCCGTAGCCTCCCTACCTCTCTGCAGGCTTCAGTGCTTCTGACACAAGATGGGGGGAGCTAATGGCAGCTAAAGGCTAAAGCAAGCAAGTACACATAAGCAAAACAAAAACAAGGACCCCCACAGGTACCCCAATCAGACCCCTTACTCACTTGGTAGTAGGCACGCAGAGCGCAAAGAGGGCAAGGTCTGGATCCGCAGCTGATACTCCAGCAGAGGCACCGCAATTGCCGGAACGAAAAACCGGCGTTTTTAAAAGCTTTGCGCGCATGCGCGAACCTCGGAGCGTCCCGCCGTCACCGCGGCAACGAGCAGAGCGAGCCGAAGCGCCGCCCCCTCGCACACGAGACGGAGACGCCCGCGCCTGCGCAGAAGAAGCAGGAAGCCGCTCACAGCCATCAGCTCCCCTGACCCATCTAAGATCTAATACCGGAAGGGTAATAGCGACAGCAAGCCCTGCACCATGGGCACCCACTCATTGGGAGGTTTACTGCCCAGCGAGGGGTCCTCAGACCGGGAGATTGTAAGCTCCTTGAGGGCAGGGACTGATGTGAATGTGCAACTATGTAAAGCGCTGCATAAATTGTCGGCGCGATATAAATACCAGTAATAATAAATACTAATAATGTATTGCTTGCAAAGCAAACACAGATTCAGTCTACTGGCTTTTTTCGCCCACCAGTCCTTTGTTTGTTCCTCAACAGACTAAACCTTAATGTAGCGCTGACCCATACTCTGGCTGCTCTCGCCCTTACTGTCTCTCTCTCAGCCCCACTGACTCTTCTCCTGAACTTTGCTCCAGACATCCTTAATAAGGCCATCTCCAGCCACCTGACCAACCTATGCCGATCATTGTCAAAATCCGGAAAGAACGGCAAAGCCAGCTGTTTCCCTGTAAAGATATCTGCCTCCTGAAACCCCTGAACCTTCCTAGCTGAGAGTCCTGGGTGCCCTTTACCGTGACCAGGGCCAGCATTGTCACACAGGAATAACACAAAACAAAGAGTCCTGGCGTCTAGTAATTTCTAATTAAGAATTCTTTTTGGTGATTATGCCATCTCTGAATCCTACCATTAACAACACCTGAGCCCTGAAGAATGGGGAGATTTTTTGAGCCCTCCAAATGTGTTGACTGTTTTGTGTTATCCTGTTATGAACTAACACTATTATTAAAATAATTTTGTCTCTTAGAGCTTTTGTTTGGCGCTCTCATTAGACTTTGTACAAGCAATAAATATCTGACAGAGACCCTCCCCACACTATCCAAAACAAAATTCACACTGCTGGTAAACACATGAAAAGCTTCACATATAATATGAGTGGAAGTCAGTGGCGGAACTACCAGGGTCGCAACGGTCGCAGCCGCGACCGGGCCCTGGAGTTCCGCCAATTAGAGGGGGCCCAGGACAGGCCCCAGAGGCGGCTCTTTAATCTGGTGCCGGGAAGGGGGGGGGCGGAGTTTTGACCTGTGCAGGCTGTAAAATCCATGCATTGGCCCTGGGCCCCTCCGCTGGACATCCGCCTCGCTCTACCATCACTTATCACAGTTCAATTAAAACATTTTCATTATGGTTGTAAGTGGGGCCTCACATTTGAGTTTTGCCTAAGGCCTCACAAACTCTAGAGCCGCCTCTGCGGGGCCCTAGTAACCGCTGATTACCAGGATATGTAATATCCCGGTAACCCCTAATGTCAGTTTTTGTTTTAAAAAATTTTTTTTTTTAACACAATGTACCTAATTTTTTTCCTCTGGGGGAGGGGGGGGGGGGTCCTTCATGGATTCTTGCACCGGGGCCCTGAGGTCACTAGTTACGCCACTGAGTGGAACATAACTACTTTGAGCTTTAGATCACCTTGTACTCCATTATGCCTTCTGTATTCAAGAGTAGACCTGAATGATAGGTCTGAATTTTAAAGCTGAACTCTGTGATAAGCAAATATCGTCTGATGCAAGAGCCATGTGAATCTTGGTGTACGTCCAGATCTGTGCAGTAATCTAATGTAGAACTTTGCATCTGTGCAGGAGCTTCCTGTAATACAGACCAGTCACTGCTTCTCTCTCTTCTTGTACAAGGTGACTGGTCTTGTATCCACTCCCTCCTGTAGTTTTCTGCAGGCACTCTGCAGTACAGTGGAGCTGTTGGGTGCCTGCTACAGCTCTGCTCCCTGCACAGGCTATGTGCAGCACAGTGATGATGTCACTGCTACTTTTACAAGGTAATTGAGTTAACAAAGGAAGTTGGTGCACACTAAGTGAATGTACAGTACAATATCCTTTATGAATATAAAAACAATATATTTAAAGCTTTTGTACCTGGAAATTAGCTTTAGAAAGATTATGTGAGTACATCCCTAATGATGTCCTATAACCTGTCTTTGTAGGCCTTAATTGCTCATATGCAATCTGAGTTATCTAGTATAAAGCAATCTCATTCCTTTCTGGATCTTTTCCACACTCCTGGAATGCGCCGAATTACAATCTGTCTCATGCTGGTTTGGTAAGTCCATTTTTTAAAATTATATACAGTACATTACCCTTTGTCCCTGGATGTGCTCCAAAGAAGAGCACTGTGCTTATCTATAGACTTTAGCTAATCAACATGTTAACACATTCCCATCGGTTTAACGCATATATGGGGCAGTACAGCAGGTGGACTTTAATGACAAGCTGCCGTATATATGCATCCAGCTGGCTCTGCTGTCTTGTGGTGAGCGCACACTCACTTGGCACTCCCAGCAGAGTGACCAAGCTGTCAACAGCAGCTCCAGGTAACTATGAACAGAAGCCGGTGGGATGTTTTCCCGATCATGTGACTACTGTGACAGCCAGTCACAAAATCAGGAAACCCTCCGGTGACTTTTGATATTCAGAACCCCTTAAGTGGTACAATTTTAGAGATATCATTAGAAGAATTGGGCCATTTATATATTACAGTTATTTTTATATAGCGTAAATTGTCGATGCTATATAAATACCAGCAATAAATAAAGGGCCTAATTCTTCGAATTATATCCATAAAATTGTACACTTCGAGGGATTCACCAGCTACACAGTACTGCCCAATTTTGAATGAATGGGATGGGCCATAGTATGTGTAGGAATACATTTGAATAAAGGAACATATACAGATCATAATCTCCTAGTGGCATAATCCTTGTAAGGATTTATATATAAATCCTTGAATATATATATATAAAACGGGATGGCACGTTAATATCTTGAATTTTTATATAACAAATATGCTGAAGTGCATAACAAGTATTACTGTTTTTTTGGCCTTTAACTTGTAGCTTTCAAAATTGTACAAAAAATTAGAAGTAGTGACTTAGTACAGTTACTTGCCGTCTACGTACAGGAAAAATATATATTTGTTTATAAGTTTTGAATCTGATGTTCATTTTACTATTTTTATAGAATACATTTAAAAACACATTTAATAGAAGGCATTCCCATAACACAATGGTTTTGTTAAAGAGAGAACAGCAAAAGCTTCTTTTCTGATTCTTCTGATGGAGCAGGATGGAGGGGGGAGAGAGGAAGAGTCATTTCTCTGACTGATTCACATTCCCTTGCAATAAATCTTGGACTGAACTATGTATCTCTGTAAATAATGGGGTAAAAACAAAAAAAAGTATCCAAGAGCTCCACCTGCTGGCTGCATATGAAAATTAGGTATATCATATTTACTAACTATGGGGGTTACTCACAAAGCTGCCGAAGAACACCGAGTGAATAACCAAGCCGAAGTGAACTGAGCAGAATGCCGTTCGGCTATTCACTTCGTCCCCGTATGGCTGATTTCATCATCTACATCGACTAAAATTAGCCGTACATCAGCATGTTTGGCTGAGCCGAAGTGAAGAAGCCGTTAGACTCTTAAATAATTTAAATAAATGTAAAAAAATTATAATATTTAAGAAAAAAGAAAGTAAAGAAGGAAAAAAAACTGCGGGGGGTCCCCCTCCCAAACCGTACCAGATTCTTTAGGTCTGGTAGGAAAGTTAGGAGGGACCCCAAGTTAAAAATACAAAAGTGTGTGGGATTTCCCCTCCCCCCCCAAAGTCATACCAGGCCTTTTAGGTCTGGTAGGAATTTTAAGGAGGAAGCCCACCCCCTAAAAATGGAGAGAAAAAATGTGGGGTTCCCCCTAAAATTCCCAACCAGATCCTTGATCCAATCACAGGCCGGGCAGGAAAGGGGGGGACGAGCGAGGTGCCATACCAGGCCACATGCCCTCGGCACTGGGAAGGTGCTTTTCCAGGGTCCCCCCTAGAAAAGAACCTTGTCCCCGTGCTGATGGGGACAAGAGCCTCTTCCCCACAAGTCCTGTCGCATAGGTTGTGGGGTGTCTGCAGGCAGGGGGGCTTATTTGTATCAGGATACCCCTTTAATAAAAACCCAGATGCAGCCTTTTGAATGAGTAAGGGGTACTTGTTCTGCTTTTCAGTGCTATACAGTTTTCTTTTGGATTCTTCATGTTATGCAAATCTATAAGTTAGCTAAGTCTATGAAAATAAGACACTCCTTTTGTGGTTGATATGTTATCTCACCAGTTGTTGGTGGGAATATGTGGTAGTTTTGCAAATTTTTTTCTTCCTTTTTTGTTGTCAGGACTAAAAGATACAAATGTAAAAAATCTGTTTATACAGTATAAGATATGTAGTGTAAATATGAAATAAGGCATTTTCATATGCTGCCAGCAGGTAGAGCACTCGATTCTTTCTATTTTCCTGGGTTTTCCTTGTTTTTTTTCACTAGTGTACAGCAGTTTTGCATTGAGTACACCAAGAGATTGCTGTGTGGTAAGAGAGAACATGTTACAATGGCCACTGTAACTAACTGAACACGTTTTTTCACTATTTTCTTTTACAGAAGTTGCTAATTAATTTTCCTTTACAGGTTCTCCACTGGTTTTGCATTTTATGGCCTTGGTATGGACCTGCAGAAGTTTGGAATCAGCATTTTTCTGCTGCAGTTTGTCTTTGGAGGCATTGATTTACCAGCCAAACTGGGAGGAGCAATTCTAATGAGCTGTATAGGGCGCAGAGTGACACAGTCAGGGTCCTTGATTCTTGCTGGAGTTGCCTTGCTTTGTAATGCTTTTATACCTCAAGGTCAGTTCATTCAGGCAGAGGAGAGGTGGAAGTATCGTAAACAAGCAAAAACAATATTTGGTTGTATTACATTTTGATTTACAGCAAGCTTGCATACAAAAAAACTAGAGGAGATAGCTGAGAGCAGAAGCTAAGAGTACATAACATACAACTTGCAGCATCGGTACAGTCCAGCACCACCCAAAGCCCCTGATGTTTCTTCACTTCCTGTAGAGGTGATTAGGCTCACCCCCTGCTCTCATCGCACAATGCATGCCTGGTCTGACATATGTCTGACCTATCAGCAGACCAGGACATTTTCATTGAGGAGTACAGGGGGGAGTCACTATTTGTATGCAAATAGTGACTTTAAGAAAGTCAGAAGGCTCTAGGCAGCGCTGGACAGCTCTGATTCCACAGCAACAGGTATGTTGTCTGTTACCTTTTGCTAATGTTAATTTGTGACTGTTGTCACATTCACTATATGTTATAGGTTATGTCAACACTACAACAATGATTTTGTCAGTGTTAGAAATACATGTCCCTGTGTAAGTAAAGAACTTAAGCCTCCCCTTTAACCACCATAAATGTTATTTCAAATGTATGCATCTCCACTTGCCATGGGGCCACCCAGATTTGCTCAGGACAGTCTATTGTGCCTGTAAACAAGCAGTCCATCAGCTACATCTGTATTAAATCTAATGCAAGTCTAAATCTTCAGATACAATGTCCTTCATAGGACTCAATTATAGCTGAATGTATGACATGTGATACCTGCTTTGATTTGCTGAAGGCAAGAAAATGCAAACCTACATGAGTATTGGCTGTCCCCCCCCTGATAGCGGCCCTGAGGGTACTTGACATTAACAATGGCCTTAAAGTAAATGTCTGACAAAAATAAAATAACATATGAAGTACGTTTCTGCAATACATGCACATTTCCCCATGTTTTGGCTCTATAAAAACACTGCTAGTACACAAAAGTACCAATTTATCCTGCCAGAAATGCACTTGGCTCCTAACTGCTCATAGTAAGTAGTAACATAGTAAGCTAACCACAAAGTCCATCCGCTGCTCTGAAATCCCAAGCAGTGTTGTCAGCCCTGCCCAGTTCACAATAGCAGGCTAGTATAAGTGATAGTACAGCCACCTAGTACTGTACAGCCACCCAGATAACTTGTAGTTGTTAGCAGCCAGCCCTGCCTGATGTCATTGGTCGCTAGGATGCCAGTGGTCCTAGCAATCAATGACCGAAGCGGAGGGTGGACCTGCGTTGGCTTATGGCTGGCCACGGATACACCGGCCTCGTGTCAACTGTCAGCCAGCTCTAACCCAGCACAGCTAAGCAATCGCAGTCCAGGCAGAACAGCCACTTGGTCCATTTCTGGACTGCGGTCCGCCATTTAGTGACCCCTGCTCTAAATCCTTTCACTAACAACACGGCTCCGGCTGAATTGACTGAAATTTGGTGGCCCTGTTGGAACCACCTGGCTCTACAAATTCTGTTAAAGAGTTGGGTGGAAAATTGTCAGCTGAAAAGTGACTGCATCCTATCAGTGACTGAGGGAGTTGCAGCTGTCAGAATACAATAGCCGGCAGTGAAGCTTCCTTCATACATGCAAGGTTAGGGGAATTATTTCTCCCGTTCAGTCCATGGTTTGTCTAGCCTTAGTTACAGCCTTATTTGTTCAACAAAAATTTTCTTTTTGTTCTCTTTCAGATCTGAAAATTGTGCGAATAGTGTTGGCTACTTTTGGCAAAGGCTGTCTGGCTTCATCATTTTGCTGTGCTTATCTATATTCTAGTGAGCTCTTCCCAACTGTTATCAGGTATTTTGACTTATTGACAGCACAATCACTGGAAGACTCAAGCTGGCCATACACCTTACAATTATCTGCAGATTTTCTGTGGTCGGATGGAAAAGGTGCAACAGATTCCTCTATCTATGCTAAACTGTGTGCATGGAGTAATCTCCACCTGGGCCAATCTGTTGCACTTTTTCCATCTGACCACAGAAAATCTGCAGATAATTGTAAGGTGTATGGGCACCTTTATACTGGAAGGTTTACCAGAAATGCCTGTGCAATGTTAAATAATATTGAGAAAAGTCTGCATAACATCTATAAACCTTTTCTGTTACTGTCACTGGAAATATCTGTTTCCTGATTCTTTAAGGCTCCACTTGTATATAATGTTGTGTGTTATTGTGAGTTGCATTAAGGCAGCCCATTCAAAATAAATGGGCTGTCAATGCACCCCAACATACTTAATATTACACATGATCCATTTTTCCTAATGCACAGCAGCAAACTACTATGCTACAACACAGGTCCGCTGCCTTAGTGCATTGGATTGATATTCAAATTGTAATTGCCTTGTTGTAATGCAGCAATGCATGTTACATGCATTGCTGGGCGTGTTATCACAACATGGAAATCGAGCCTAAAAGTTCCTCCTGGCTCCTAGATTTTATTGGCTCTTCCAGCCCAAGGGGTCATCTCACAGTTTCTATACTTTTTAATTACATTAAACTCAGAATAACATCTTCAAGTTTTTAAAATCTTTTTTAAATATTACAGTGTATCTCTTTAATACACTGCCCCACCCGGTATTCCTCGATTTGTAGCAAGCTACGAAGTAAATCTAAATACTGTAAAGTCAAAAGATACTTTGTTATTGTCACTGCACTTACTCATTTACTTGTGTGTGTAAATTTCAGCTTGAGCTATTGAGCTCCATAAACAACAAGCTTTTTAAAACACAAAGCAGAGCCTAGAAAACATATGAAAGGTGCCTGCTGGCTATGTTCATGTCCATTGCTTGGCTACATGTTCATGTTGAGTAGTCTTCTGTACATGTACGTCTTTGTGTTTGCATTATACTGTATAATGTATATCAATCAACTGCTACCATACCTGTATGCATTCCAGATTTCTGTACACATTAAGTGATCAAGCAAAGATCATTTTATATATTGTGGCAGTGTAAGCCAATGCCACGGTGTAGTATGGCGACTTTGGCACCCAGGACTCTCAGCCAGAGGGGCTGAGAGGGTCCAGAATGTAAACAATGTTTTAAGGAAGAGCCTGGCTTTTCAGGTCCGTCCAGGTGTTCCTATTTGTAGCTGGGATCTGGAGCTCTGGAGATTTCGTAGAGCTCTGGGTGGGATGAGATCTCCAGTCCTGGGGCCAGGTGTTGCCAATGACCAGCCTGGGATAATCAGGTGGCTGAGAGCAGCCTTATCAGGAAGCCAGCCCAGTGCTCAGAGGAGTGTTGGAGTTGTGTGTGTGCAGGGAGCACACGGACACAGACAAACTCGGGTGAGTGCTGGATGCACACGGAACAGCCAGGGGTGGCTGGGACAGGTCAGGAAGGTCGGTGACCCCAGTGACCTGTCGGACGCACTGCTGGGAGAGCAGAGTGAGTGCCAACGAGGGGAGAGGTCAGGAAAGTCGGTGACCCTAGGACCTTTGGTACAGACTGCTAAGAGAGCAGAGTGAGTGCCCACAAGGGGAGAGGTCAGGAAAGTCGGTGACCCTAGGACCTGTGGTACAGACTGCTAAGAGAGCAGAGTGAGGGCTCACGAGGGGTCAGCAGCGTGAGTGTCTTAAAGCTGTGGAAAGCTACTGAGCCATATAAAGGACTGTCTCATGTTGCTGCTGCAAGCTATTTTGTGTTTGCCCTTTAACTTTACATTCATTCAACACAGAGTCTTTTATAGGGAAAGTGAAAGTTTAATGACTGGATTGGATTTTGCAGCTATAAGATTGCTGCACCTTTTATTTAAAAGGTGCTTCGGGGTTGTCTGCTGTGTTCATAGTGATTTTCTTCATAAGATATGGACTTGCATGTTTGTGTACATACTTGGGAGAAGTAGAAACAGTCAAATATCCCCAGGATCCCTAATACTTGGGGAGCCCTAAAATGCAAAGGAGGGCTTTATTGTCTGGAGTCATGATTGGAACTGTGCCATTCTAATTTATTTGCCTTGCTATTGGTCTATTCTTCAGTGAGGCATGAAAGACAGAAAGGGGTTACACAAAACATGATCTCTGGAAATGAACTACCTATTTGCATAGAAGAGCTACAAAAGCCTTGAGGCTTCCATGGACCTCTACAAAGTATCTGACCATGTGTGCTGACACTTATACATGTTCACTTTACACAACTTTCTGTAGCTTGGGTGAGTTATAATAAAAGCAGGGTCACTTTATGGCTATATCATGTCATATAAAAACATACAGCATACTGCAATTCTACTGTATTAAAATGATCTTCTTTTCCAGGCAGAGTGGAATGGGAGTTGTCGCTATGAATGCTCGCTTGGGCTCCATGGTTGCTCCACTGGTGTTGATGTTATCAGAGATTTCTACTATCTTTCCTCCTGCAATATACGGAGTGGCAGCAATATTATCTGGGATTGCAGCTGTGTTTTTGAGTGAAACTTGTAATCTTCAGTTGCCGGATACAATAGAAGAAGTTGAAGCCAGGTAAGCTGACCATACAATATTTACATTTTTCCAGTCTTGAACCCAGCCATTCTCCAAACTGATATTTCAACTCTGCAGAGACAAACCATTAAGTGCTGAGTACTATATATCTGTAGGAGAGAGAGGGGTTTAAGTGTATCTAGATAAGCTGATCTCTCATTAAATAATATTCTTGCCTTTACTCATATTGAATCGATTTCTTCTTTCCCCCCCTTTAGAACAGGGAACGGTTCATACTCAGTCTTTACACAGCCAACGCAATGTAACAAGGCTCTAGGTGTTAATCACTTCAGATTTCACACTTGTATACCCCCTGTGGACCTGATTTTTTTTTTACATTCCTGGTATGGGCGTGTTTATTTGGGGGGGAAAAAACCTTACAAAGTAGTACATTATTTATCTTTTTTGGAACAAACAAGGCTTTGGTGTTACAGTTGTCCAAAAATGATTTTATATTATTATAATCCATAGATAAAATCATAAAAAAAATAAAACTGCACACTTTCTTATACTTTAATCAGTGTTATATTTATAAAGCATTAAAGATTTATACTTTAATCAGTGTTTTAAAAAAATACTGTAGAGAAAAATTGCACTAAAATTCTGGTACAAAGCATTGCAAAGTAATTTTTTTTAAAAATAAAGTATTTTTTTCAATTTTGTGCATTATTAATGCAGCACTAAAAAAAGAAAATAACAAACAAAGCAAATAAATCCAAAAAAGTGTAAATATTAAATGGTTGGAAAAATAGAAATAAAAACACAGAAAAAAATAATCAGGAAAATAATAGCTACGGAGGCCATGCTTGGTTTACACAACAAGACCAGCTCCCGCAGCCTCTTTTCATGCTTAGGTGGTCACAGGTCCTCTGACATCAGGGAGTACAGTGCAGGGCCAAAGCTTCAGTAACATAGGTGAGGACACTGAGTGAATGTCCACAAGCCAAGCATGAGGGGAGAAGATTTCAGCACCAGCTGGTGGTGGAGAAGGGGATCAGGTAAGTAAAAGTCTGGGTACCCAAAGCAAAATAAAATAAAATGAGGGGGGGGGAGCCCCCTGGAGCTTTTAATCATAATGTGCAGATATGCACAGAATATTAATGCAGGCTTACCTGCCAAAGCGACCCCCTCCAGCGCTGCACTGCTTTTTCATCTTTGTCCTGGTCTTCTTCCAGGTTTTATTTCTTCCACCTGATTGGCAGAGCCCTGAGAACATAACTCCCGAGCATGGGCACAGGAGTTACTTAATCTCAGCATGCTGAGCCTGTGCACTGAGCTGCATGTGCCTGGCATACAGGAAACAAAAATGCTGACTGGCAGCAAGAAGCTTTTATGACAGTAGAGACATACACAGTCTTTTCTATCATAGAAATGCTGCCGATCAGCATTTAATTATTTTGACTTAACCCTTTAAGTGCAGAGGGAGCCCTACTGCCAGGGGAGTTTTTTTATTTTCCCTGGAGATAAGCTTTAACTGACATCATATGCAGATGAAAGCATCATCGTTTTGATCTGCAGATAAATGATAGAGCGTAAATGCAAAAGTAACAATGTTACTTTGTATCTCTCTCATTCTGGACAGTGTTTTTTTTGACAGCATAGCTGTGTCTATATACACAACAACTCCCATCTGCCATTTCGACAGCCTGGAATTACCGGTAAATGTGGGGATTGGCAGCAGGGCAGGAGAGTACTACACACACCTTAATTGTTTTTTTTTTTTTAACTGGAACGCATCAAAAATCAAAAACGCGGCAAAAACGCACTGCATCAGTAGCACCGCGTCTGCAGATCCGCACCTAATCAGGACCTGATATCATGTGAACAGGCCCTTAAGGGCCTGTTTACACGACGTCCGTTTTCTGTGCTGACCTGATCCGTACACTCCTGCACTAAAAATGCATCCCAATGTATCCCTACGTGTTTTATGGGCTACAGTTTTCACATGCGCAGTCCGTTCATGCATACTGCATGTCACATTTTGTACGGTCAGGAAACGCAAAACGCGGCAAAAACGCACTGCAGCTAACATACTGACAGCCCCACTGACAGCCACTGGAACGCGGCCAAAACGCGGCAAAACACATAGCTCTGCACCTGATCAGGGCCTAAAGAAAGCACGGTGCTCTCTTCATCAGGGCTAACATAATAAAGCACATTCTGTATAACAATAAAAGACACGTTTTTCTTGTAAACAGATCATGAGATCTGTATAAAACTAATATATGGTAAGCAGTTTTAAAAACACAATTCAAGTTATAATAAAACGTTTATAAAATGTTGGGTTAAAAAAATATATATATTTGGACTCTACTGGCAAAAATTTACCCTACAATAGAAAATACTGAATACTTAAGGTGCCCATACACCTTACAACCATTGTACAAAGACATCTCACCTTAGTTCAATTTTCGTTCAAACAGCCCATCATATACGGACCAATGTAGTTCGCAATTAACATTAGTCAGCACCACTAACTGGATGATTTTTTACATAGACATCTCACCTTAGTTCAATTTTCGTTCAAACAGCCCATCATATACGGACCAATGTAGTTCGCAATTAACATTAGTCAGCACCACTAACTGGATGATTTTCGTCGATCGAAAGAACAGATTTTCGTTTGCATGGGCAGTTTTCATCTTGAGATTTCTGTACTAATGTGACAATTTTCGACCAACTAGAGGAAAATGTTCTAGCCTGCTTTCAAGATGAAAATCTGCCAGCTGATGGGAAGTGCACAACTACAATTACTGCACAACAGGCAGATTTTCGTACGAAAATGCAATCACAGACAAAAATCAACAGATAATTGTAAGGTGTATGGGCACCTTTACATGAACTCCAAACTGTCTTCAAACACTAAAGCCTGTGATAGAATCTTCATATCTAAAACCCTGGTCCCCCACTGAACTAAATGGTTACTCTCATCAGCCCCTATGCCAGTACTGCAGTGATGTAGGGCCAGCACATGGGAACTACAGAGCATGGCAGGAGATGTAGGCATCTGACACTCTTGAAAGGGTTAAATGATGAAGATTCTGTCAGAGGCTTAGTGCGTAAAGACAGTGCAGTTCGGACCTACTGTCCACGGTATAATGAAGTATTCAGTCTTATATTGCAGAAGCCATTTTTAATTTAATTTTTTTTTTTTGGGAAGCAATAGAGTTAGTTTACGACTTCAACCAACTATATTGTTTGCCAAACATAAATTGAAAATGTACCTGCTTGTTTTATTTGTTTAATGCAACACTAAAAAAAAAAAAAGTCTAAATATTAATGGTTAGAAAAATAGAAATAAAGATAGTATTTTAGACATTTATCCCAAAATAGAAAGACAATATTCTTCTATTCTTGCAATCTCCATCTCTTTGCAGATATAAAGGTAAAGATATACACAGGATCATCCCAAAAGAAGAAGTCCCCCTTACACAGAACCAACCTCAAGCTCACTCTCCAAAAAGACTCTTGGTGGAAACAGTGTAATTAGTTTTAAGCCAGGCACGAATACAACACTTTTAGTTGATATGTTGACAATTTGCCTATGTGTGTGGCCTCTGCTGGGAAGATTTTATATGTATGTGTATATATATGTGTGTATATATATATATATATCATGTAAAGTCAGGAGTGAACTCCTAATTTGCATCCTGCATAGGTCAGCAATGGCAGCCTACATAGTCCCCTTGGTACCAGTTTCCTTTAATTTGTAATGTAATTTGTAGTGTTTATAGGATGTAAAATCATTTACTGTGAAAACCTGTAAAGAGCACCAGTCACATACAAAAAGTTCCATATTAAAGAAATATAAACAAACATGTTGTCAATTTATTTTGTAGTTTAAATACACAGTTAAATAAGAACTTTGATCTGAAGAAAAAAAACATGTAAGCAAATTTTTGCATAAACAGGGAATTCTGGGATTGGATGGAAGCTAGTGGAAGAGGAGGAAGAGTTTATGGATTTGAACACATATACGTATATGTGCCTGAACACGTCTAAACATGCGCATTTTCCACATCATTACATTCATCTTGTATGCAGGAACTTCCTTTCAGCTTTCTACCAGCATTGTGCTGCATTCTTTTCATTTCCCCAGTACAGCCATGTGCATGAGCCCGAACAAATACAAATATTTAAAGGATGGAAGAAAGGTTTAGAGTATTATAATAGTTTTAGTAGTGAAGTACTGTAGTTGCATTTTTTTAAATAAAGGTCTGTACATTTAGACCAAAAAACAATTAAGGAGGAAAGAGAGCAATAGAGGGTTGGTTCCAAATGAGGGATGGTTGGGGGCTATGTCTGCCAAAATAATTAGCAATTCTGTTTAGTCAGCCCTACTACCCTACATAGCTAGAGAATGAGTCTAACATTCAAAACCTCTCCTCTACCCTGGCACTTCCTCCTACTATTCAACACCTCCTACCCCAGCCTGTCCACAAAGGCACTATAGGCCAATTGTGCATACACAGATACCTGTCCACAGAATCAGTACTATATTAATGTAGCTGGAAACATGTCAGCAGAGGCACAATCAGTACCGTATTGACACAGCCAAAAGCTGATGTATCAAGAGACATGTCATTAGAGACACAATCAACACCATACTGAGGCAGCCAGAAACATGGCGGCAGAGACAAAATTAGTACCGTACTTACACTGCCAGGGTATTGTGTAGACATGATGACTTCATGCTGCAGGAACTTATAATGTAGTTCCAACCACAGTCTCCCATACTTAGTTCTCAGTAGCTCATGAGGAGAAGCAAGCAAATTCACACTATTCCACAAACATGACTCGAGAGCTGTCCCCACACAGAGCTTGCGGGGGAAGGCCTAGGCAGCCATGACAGCAGCCACAGCTCTTTGGGGCCACAAGTAGCAATGAGAGGTGGCAGTTTTGCAGCTATTGGGCCCTATGGGTCTATAAATAAATATTGATGCAAGGGCAAATAGGAATATACTGCCTGGGAGGTGAAGCACCACCCTTAGCAGCTGTGGCTCCCTGGGCCACAGCCTAGGTGGCCCCAGACGAAGTCCGGAGGGGCGTAATGTGCATAGGGCGAAGTCATGAGCGCATCACAAAGGGAGAGCTACAGCAGTGACGGGAAGAAGTGAAGATCAGGGACCTGTCAGCAGGTTTGAGCAGGAGGATTAGCAGATCCTATCTCTGCTGTCACTTTCCTTGGCTGCTTGCTTTTATATGAGTAGCATTTCTAATAAAGTCTATTTTGAGTTATTACACTGCACCATGATGTGTGTCTCTTTTTGGTTTTACTGACGGACTGGCTGCTGTGGGATGTCATCTGGGGGAGCAAAAGCGTCTTCCTTGCCGGTCTCCCCGCCCATTATTCTGAAGAGGGACAGGCTATACTAGACCTAGGTGTGGGGTCTAGAAACAAGGTGATCAGCTCTCTGGAGTGGGATTTTACAGAAGTGTTTTGGAAGATTCATGCAAGCGTGATATTATCACAATTCCAAGTCTTTTTCACGTGTTTCACAAGATTAAAGATATACAGACTTTGTGAACTTTTGGACATTCACTTGATTGTCTATAGATTACATTGCAAATATGAACATTGATTGTTTATTTGTTGGCTTTTCAAAAATTAGCACATTGGAATTTTTAGAGTGTGATTTATCACAGCTATTTTGCTATATATCTATTATTTTTTTTTTTTTTTATTGAAATTCTTTTTATTTTTGAAAATTTTTAAAGATACACAATACTCTGTACTGCATAGAAATAAGAAATGTTACAGAAATAACACATTATGCATGTGAATGGAGCGTCCATTCGCGTTCCAGAAGCTACATTCCTTATCACCATATAGTGAGACGTTGTCACTGTATTATTCGTTCAGTCCTCATTTCGTCCTTCCATAAGAATAAGACAGTAGCATCTACCGCATTATTTATCATTGTTAATCTAAGTATCTCATGACCATTCACTTAGTTATAGATATCTATAATTTTTATATTTATTTATATATCTATTTATTGTAGTATATATTTGTTGAGAGTTTCACATTAAAACAATCTCAGTACAAATTAGTAAACTTAACGTGAGATTGTAGTCCATCATGGGAGTGAGCTTGAAGCTGTGACTACTTTACAACACACACAGGGACCATGGGGAACAAAAGTAGCCACCCTCCAGAAGGAAGGACAGTGTCAGCACCAATTCAGAGATGGTTTGAGTGATACGCAAAAAAGGTACATTTTTGTTACTAATTAAGGTACTTGAATTTATTGTTAAGGTTTAACTTCTGAGTTTAGTGTCACTTTAAAGAAAAAAAAACAGTATGTAATATTACCAATGTACAACCTGCATCCAGCTTTCATAAATGTACTTAAAGTGTACAGTCAAAACTTTATTTTTAATAGAGTAGGGACAGGTTCAAAACTCTGCCATGTTATTATTTTGTTTTTTGTGTAAGGCAATTTCCCTTCACTTCCTATCCAAGAGATGCAACAGGAAGTTCAGCGAATTTCCCTCTCAGATAGTTGCCCGCAGAACAGATCCCCCCCCACTTAAAGATTTCCTCACCTGTTGTTCTGGGGACAACTCTAAAATTTTGGATTTCCCCTCTTTTTCTTTCTCAATGGTAGCCTGTACAATGGGGATACACACACCAATAAACACTTGACTGAGAGACTAACCCTCCACCAATGAAAAACTAAAAAAAAGATTTTGCCTAGAGATGCACTTCTCTAATTCCAAGAACAAAAAATTTAATATATTGAAGCTTGCCAGTCCTTAGATATAATGGCTGCATTAGTTTTCTTTTTTCAGGCTTTTCCACGTGACCCTGCTGGTAATACAATTCCTACGCTATGGTGACTGTGTCTATAAAGAAGCAGCATTGTCACCCTAGGAGAAGAAGTGTTTTAGGACTACAAAACACCTCCACTTCTCCTTGTAACCATAGTTGTTCTGTAGTTCACAGAGAGTGAGCAAAGGCAGAAAGCACACAAAGTAATCTGCTCACAAGATTTCCAGCAGGCTCAACATCAAATAGATCAACATCATCATCAACATGAATTATCAAATAGATATAATAAAACACTGTTATTTATACATTTATCAGACAAAAAGAGCAAAAATGTAATTGTTAGGGTAAACATACAGTATACTTGATGCAAATTGATTGCAAATTGAATATGTCCTCACTGTAATGCCAAATCTACATAAAGGGCTATTTATAGACATGTGCGATTCGTTTCGTTCCGAATCAAAATTCGGACGAATTTTCGGAAATTCGGACATTCGGATGTATCCGAATCCCGAATTACAGATATTACGAATGCAAACGAATCCGAATTTCCATTTCCGAAATTCGGTAGCGTTCGTACGAACGTTCGTTTCGTTTTCTGTTCTTATTCGTTTCTTATTCGTTTCTTATTTGTTTCGTTCGTTGGAGCAAAGTGACATTAGAGAAGGAGAAACATATTTTTTCCCCCTCAAATGTCACTTTTGCGGCAAACGAACGAAACGAATAAGAACAGAAAACGAAACGAACGTTCGTACTCACGCTACCGAATTTCGTCCGAATTCCGAATTGACTTTCACACCCGAATCCTGAACACCCGAATCCTGCGGCAAACGAACGAAACGAATAAGAAACGAATAAGAACAGAAAACGAAACGAACGTTCGTACTCACGCTACCGAATTTCGTCCGAATCCGAATTGACTTTCACACCCGAATCCTGAAAAACGAAATAACACAAATCCGAATTTAAAACGAAACGAAACTAAACAAATTTTTTGGCAGTGCACATGTCTACTATTTAATACAATAACAGAAAAAAATGAATGGTCACACATGTAAAAATGTACAATTCATATCAACATATGTGTTCAAGTTTGTGTTTATATTAGGGATGCACCGAAATGTCAGTGTCCGAAACATATCGTCCAAAAATGGCACTTTCGGCAGAATTGGGGTGCATGCCTGGTTTCTCTACTCCCCGCTAGGCACTGCTCTGAGTCCCCTCTGGCACAACGCAGCGTCCACCAAGGAGGATAGAAAATGTCAGAGGAGGCCAAGTGAGGCGGGGGAGGAGAGCGCTGTGAGCTGCGATGTTACAGGAGGCCAGGCTCTCCTCATGCACCGCCCCCCTCTGACCGATACGGATGGAGAGAGGTGTGGGGGCGAAGACAGGCCGTGTGCAGTCACAGGAGCCTGAGCCAGCAGTGAAGGAGAGGAGTCAGCTGTCAAAATGGACTGAGCTCTCCTCTCCGCACTGTTGGCTCACCCTCCTGTGAGAGCCGATCCAGGATGGAGAGCGGGTACAAGCAGTCAGTGATCGCTGAATGTTTGTAAATAACTGGACATAGTATGAGTTACCAGTACCAGTGATCTACATCACTTGGAGGGCGCGTCTGCCTGATCCAGCCAGCCAGGCCGGATCGCATAGCGGCGATCCGGGCTTGGGGGGGGGGGGGGCGAAAAAAAATGTTCTGCCCCGGGCGCCAATAACTCTGGTTATGCCACTGGTGCCCACTGATCAGAAGGGCCAACCACAGAAAT